TTGCGAACGGTATGATGACTTCTCCAACTGGAATTCTGATTTACGGAGGGCAAAATCGGTGTTTAGAATTTCCGGGCGGAAAACTCGTTCACTTTCTGAATATTGTGCGTAATGGGATCATCCTTTAATTTTGGAACTGTGATGTTGTCAGTAGAATGACATTTTGACCGTAAATTAGATCCGGTGGATCCCTTTAGTCTACCTCAACTCGGATTTAAGCCGTCCTTCTTGAGGCTCTAACCAAGTCGACTACATTGCCAGTTTTCCAGCCTTTCCAGCCTTCTTAACTGCTGTTATGGAAGCCGACAACCGGCAAAATCGGTGGGATCTCAATTGGTTCTAAAAATGATTTTGGACATGCTCCACTAAATAAAGTTCTGGGAAGTTTGCCATTATTCACTGTGAACAATCCTTAGTTGCCGTTGGGGACTAAAATAACTAGCAATGAACATGTCAGTGGGTTTAAGAAAAGGCAATGTCAAACGCTTTCATCTGCATAATCATTTGGCAAAGTAGAGTGGTTGAGACTAATAAGTCAGGGAATCGCCTATCCACAAATTTAGTAACAGACAACATCGTTTTCAAAGTCAAACAGCAAAATTATTCACGTCCTTTGGGCATTCAGATTGTTCCTTAATTAACCAACTGATCGTGATGAAAAATGGCTTTGAGCTTTCGCATTTCACCGTTAGTTGAACAGGTGAACGCGTCACTATCCACCCTGCGCCTCCAAGATATCTACAGAGAATCGTGTCCGTTGTGAACACGTGTAAGATCGCTCGGATGCTGCAATTCAGATAGCAACAACCACTGAGATCCACCCAGTCTTAACAGTTAAATCCTTTCCAAAGACATGAAAGTCCAAATCCCCCCTTGCCTTTCGCCTCCCCTCCTCCATCCAAAAAAGTCAAAACTAGTTGATCAGTAAGGGAAAAAAGTCATATTCTCATTGTCAAGACACCATAGTGCTAAACTCACTCGTGAGAATATTTGTGCCTTTGGACAGGAGGGAAGAATGGGGAGGGGAGGGGGGAGAAAAGGAAAGGATACGTTTCTCCAAGTCATTATTCCTTTTCTTGACATTAGACATGCAAAATAGACATTTGGGGAATAAACGAGAAACGAAAACGGAGGTGGCCAGAGTCAGATTGTTCACTTTTGAGGCAAAACACCGTAAAGGAGGGAAATTGGCAGTATGCTAGCGTCGTTTAAGTAGAGACCAGTTGAATGGCTGAGATGCTTATTTGGTTAACTTAAGTAATAATTTCTAGGTGAAAAATTAATAAATTTTGCAATGCTTTAGGATTGGTTGAACTCTCAATTCTGGTGGCAGATCACTTGAAAGTTCTCTCAGTGTACTTCAGCCGAGGCAGTCTGGATTGCAGGCCATGGAAAGAGGCCCTGACCACCTATGCATAAACAATACAAGGCCTGTCCCAGCAATCAATCTTTTTTAGCCTTCAGAGAATTCGTAAAAATTGTAGTAATAGTATTTTACACATTACAAAGTCAACTATCTTCACTGATTGGAATAACAAAACCAGCTGCTTGGAACACTTTTATTTCCCAATTCATTGCCATAGGACAATGGCAAAAGCATTCAACGGGCTACTGCTATTGCAGCATGAAATCGTAGCATAAATGCGTAAATTGGATACTCCTCAATTATTGCTCTTTCCATGGCGGAACATCCCACCTGATTTGTGGAGCGAATTGATGTCATTTTCTAAATTCATCCAAATGAAGTTAACGACTTCCGACCCAAAAATCCACCATCCAAGAATAAATTATTTCGGTTTACTTTGAAATTACCAGAACTAGGCAATTCCATCATTTGGTGGTATGACAGCACTTTGATTATATTTAGAGCTCCCAATTTTGATGATAGAGCGTTTAAGGCTCCACCTCCTCAGCAAAACTGTCTGCGGATCATGTTGGTGGCTTCCGTCCTTTCTCATGTCGCAACAGCACACTTCAATTAAACATGGTAATCACAAGGTCCTTCTATTTTATCCACTTATTTTAGTGCAGGCTATATTGGAAATGCTTTTAAAGTTTGCTTTA